ACATCACCAGCAAGATTATGGAATTCTGGGACAACATCAATTTCACATGTTCCTAAAGAACTAAACTTCTTCCATCGATTGATGAGGTCAAAGCAACTTCTTGAAAAAGCTGGCTCCATCCCCTGCTTATTAAAAAACCTGTTAATACATGTAATATATTGAAGGACTTAATTGAGAAAGGATTTACCTTTAACTTCTCAAGGTGGAAAGCCGCCGTGATTAATCTTCTGCGCTTGGCCCATTTCTCTCCTTCCAATTGTGCTACTCCTTGTTGTAGAATGTGCACAAGAGGGTTGAGCGGTGGCTTAATAAATTGCCCAAACTTGTCATTTAAAACCAACTTTATTAGCTCTGGGTCTGCCACTGTCAGTCTTGGTTTTGTTTCCATCCAACTCATGGAGACTTTTCCTATTTAATTTGTGAAAACATTGCATCATGATATATAACACTAGACAAACTTTCCAGGAAACAAAGTTCTTGTACCTGATTAGTAGTTATACTTACCATATTTTTGCATCATTTGATGGAAGAATGGAAGAACGTATGGTGAAATATGATGATTTAGGGGCATGTGTTTGGACCATGCTTCTTTAGAAGATTGAATTATCTCTTCCGTATCATCATGGAAAGACTATAAGAAGTGCCGCCAATCCCTTGCTGCCTGAAGTGCTTCTCTAGGCTTTTGGGTCTCCACAAAAATGCATACACTATTCGCAGGAGCCCATAGAGGATTAATGAGGAGATGGAGATGAAAATGTAATTTTCCATTTTCTTTTGTGTTAAAAATTCAGGCTCTAGGTTTGAAGAACAACCGCCGAGGAAATGGAGTCGAGATGGAGAGAAACTTATTGAATTAGTTTTAGTACTGCGTACTTTGACTTTAGCCTTGACATCTTAGGCAGTGTGCAAAAATGTTAAATCATTGTGGACCATATCGAACTCAATGTGTGGCTCCTATTATCTGCATTTTGTTTTTTGATTTTTATATTGGGGTTTTAAATTTGAACAAATAGGTAGCATACATGCACATCACCAATCTAATCCGTCCAGTCAGAGTGATTTTTATAATGTTTGTTTGGCAATAGTCTATTTGTGTGAATGCAAAAGGTGGAGAAAGTAGCCTTCTCCTCGAGTAAGGAGTAATGCTATCTTTACCTCACTAAAACACTCTCACTCTCTCATCTTAAGTTATTAATAATTAAACTTAAAATAATAAAATTAAACTATACTAAAACAATAATTTAATAAATTGGGATTGTGATTGATTTCTTTTGGACTTTCAGTAAAAGATTATGGTATTACTGAGCAATCAAATTTTTAATCCATAACCCATAACAAAAACTGAATTTTTTTTTTTTTTTTTTTTTATGATTTTTGTTAAATATTAGAATTTGAGTTTGCAAGAGACTTGAGATAGGGAACCCATTTTTGGTTTCGATAGCCCCCATACTAAGTAGAAAGTACACCCTTTAAAAGTTTCAAAACATCTTTATGGATCCCATTTTATTCCTAAATTACCCTTTATTTCCATTATATCCCAAACAAAAGTAGAACACACATTAATGGTTAAAAGAAGAAGAAAGTCATGAGTTAGTATAATATGAATAAAAGTCTAGTTTTCAATATGAAACAAAATAAAAATGCGACTAAAAACCATTTCTCTGATTGATATTTGAAGAAGCCCATAAGAAATGGATTTCCTTAAAACCCAGAAGCCCAGAATCCTGATCCCAATCCAATTGTGGCCACCTCTAATTATCTTTGGATTATAATTTTGACTGTTGACTCTCTTAACTCTTAATCATAATATTTCTCATATTATTTATATTCTAATTTTTCAAATGTGGGAAAAGCAAGAATAGTTATAGACAGTGTTTTAAAACCCGGACCAGACCGGCTGGTCAAATAGGTCCGATCGAGAACCAATAGCCCCTCCAGTTCGGTTTAGGTTCTAGGTTTTTTTTTACTAGATTTCAAACCTGTAGGGACTAATTAATTTTCTAGGGGTGTTTTTCAATATTTCAAAACTTTAGGGATTAATTCATAATTTTTTGTGTAATTTTAATATCTTAAAATTTCAAGGACTAATTTCATTTTTTAGGGGTATTTTTCAATATATTAAATTTTTAGGAACTAATTTAAAATTTAAAAAAAATATTTTTATTGCTGTTGTCACTAGTCTGACCAACCGATCTGATTGATCAAGTCAAGAACCGAGCCTTTGATCAGGTCAAGGCCCGGTTTGATTTTCATAACATTAGTTATAGATACATTTTAAATTGTGCAAAGCATGTAAGAAAATAAACTGAGTCAATATGACAATATCTAAATATTTTGCTGTTGTGATTTTAAATTGGGATAAAAATTTAGAAGGCGAATTATTGGGAAAAAGGTATTAATTAAGGAATTACACCGAGGATAAAAGATCACTTAGGTCCAAAATATTCATAATATTGGGGTTTTATAACATTTTCTGACATATGGATGGATTAATGATAATAATCTTCAGAAAAAGGGTAGACATGTCGATTTCAAAGAACCCAACTGGCTAGAGACTGCATACGAATTCTATCTTCAATGGTTTATTAGCCTGCGAAACATTAATTGTTTAGTTCGTATCAATTACTTCATTGTCTTCATTTTTTGAAAATTGATGAAGCTAGTCGGTAAGTGATTTCAAAATTTACTAGAAAACTATAGAATTTCTAAAATTCAATAATAAACTCCTTTGAAACTTATTAATATTGTTTGAATTGAGGTAGAGCTCTAATATCATATCAGAATAAGGTAAGAGAGACAAGAAAAGACTAAATAGAGATTGTCTGAATATACTAGAGAGAAAAAAATTGAGAAGAATAGTTTTTTATTTAATTATATGTTTTGTACAGATATATATTATTTATTTATACTAAAATATAAAGAAATAAAAAGGAAATACAATATCTGTCATAATCATATAAAAAAATATAACTAAATATTGATATTAAACATAATATCAATCGGTCCTTGATTCACTCTAACAAATACCTCTAAAATTGTCAAAACCTGTTTGATTAATTGTTAATAAAATTGTCAAATTCATTGAAGAGGAGAAAGTTCTGCATTGAATATCTGTAGAGCTAAATACTTAACAGTTTATTTAGGAATTTTTTTCACCTTCCCTTACCCAATTTGAGCAAATAGTCTTCAAGAAAAGTCCAAGCTGGATATATTCTTTACCCAATTTAGAACTATTACTGTGTCACAAAGTACATGTAATTGTGTAATGATGATTGTGAGGAATCTAATTTAAAGTGAGTCATATCATGGCGTGTCAATTCAGGACCGTTAAGGCTGCAACCAAGTGACAATATATCTATTCAACGTGCATCTATTGAAATAAATAACTGAATGGGTTGTATGTGCTTCTTCTAATCTGTGCCTGGGTAGAATCAACCACCGACAAATTTCATCTTTATATTAAAAGTGCAGCTCGATTTCTACATTTGCTTTCTTCAGAATTGTCGGGCCAATCAATGACCTTAATAACGACTCCCTCAATTATATGATAATTAATAATATAATTGAGGGAGTAGTTATTGATTCATGGGCATCTGGTTAGTTAGATGAAAGGTTGATCGAATTTAAATCAATAGATACACATTTATGCAGCCATTGACTTGAGAAATTTTTTATCGCATATGAAGATGTAACCCTGTGCCAACTTTTTATTCCTACCACCACTTTTTTGCCATCAATTTAAATTTTTCTTCGTGAATCCGTAGAGTTTACTTGGATCAACAATATTTACTATAGAATTTGTTAGTGGGAAGCTGTCAACCATTATATTAACATCCAATATTTTAAGATACTAATCTAATTATTAAAACCTGCTTGATAATATTATAGGTATAATATCTCTGATCGTAACATCATTATGGAATATGATGTCTTTAATGCGACTGTCAAACAACTCATATATACAAAGTACTTAATTTTGTCACCATATATCATAGCTAAGATTCATTTAATGGCATTCAATTTCTACTTGCAGGACATGGACATAAAACGGTCACATCTTTCCAAAAAGAGGTGGAGTAGGTAGTTGCTGACGGACGACCACAATTAAAGGGTTTAATATCATCCAATTTGGACAGTTGTTATTTCTTTAATATGTTTATTAACGAATTCGAGGTTTAAATAGATGAATATATACTTTATTATAGACATATAGCTAATTAGTTTGTCTCTATCTTCGGTGTCAGATTTTCCTTTTTGACATTTAGGGTAAAAAATAGCTTCCAATTGTTTAATCAATAATTGAATCTAGTAAAAATTGAAAAGTCTTATATGAAGGAATTCCAATTGGTTAACTTCATAAAGATCTTTTATTTTAAAGAGAGTATCTGTTTGATTTATGGAGTCCAATAATCTAATACCATAATTAATTGTTTTAGATTTCTGATGGCTTTGGTAGTAGTTTCTCCAGAGTCCAGACTGGGGCGTTGGTCGTTGGATTATTATAACTATTGATATGACTGCACATGCACGAAAAATGCAATTATAAACTATATTGGATAACAATTCAACCATTGTGATTCCTAGATTTGTGAAAACTAACAATGTATATTTCCACTGAAACCCTAGGGAAAAAAATAATTCAAATGCTTAACATTTTAACTTTCCAGATCAATGATGGCTAGCTGTTTTCAGTGGCAGTAAATTAAGCCATAATACCATGAACGTATAACTTCGATTGAAAGAAAAATCTAAGAAATAAATATTATATGTTCAAACCTAAACTGTTTTCTTTTGGGAAATCATGGGGCTAGCTTGCTAATCGGATAAGAATTCACAACTGTTAATACAGGAGAATTAATTTCTTCTTGTGCCTAAAAATGTTGTGCGAGTTGAAGCACAGAGTAGCGATGGTCCCCTGGGGTTTTTTTTCTCCCTTTGTTTACGCACCATCCCATATTCTTTTTCTTGATTATTTTTTTGGAGCATAAATAACAGAGCATTAATGAAGAATGGAAATATAAGAAGTAGAAGATGAAGAAACGAGAAATTAACTGGGACAAATTACAAATTCAAATCCTTTTCTTTAGGCTACAAACACGGTAATGTAGTTCACATGGTATCTAGTCCTCGAATCTTTCACTTAGGATCTAGTCAAATGTTGTAGTTAATTATGTTATTCAATGTTAGATTATCTCCAATCTTGGACAAATTTATTCAAGAGAAACTATCATCTCTAATCCAATCCTTGAGCAATTCCTCCGAAAACGAAAACGATTCATCCAAATAAAGCTTTTCATTAGCACCACCACCGCCACTACTATTTCCACTTTCTTCTGTGCAATTATCAAGATTATCATACAGCTTCCAAAAGTCTGAGTCCGAGATATCAGATAGCAAAAGCTCCTCAAAATTAAACTCCATAGCGCAGTTTTGCAGAATACTATTTTCCTGAGACACAGCTCCATCTTCTGAATTATCGATGTCTTTCTTTGCAGTGGCTTCTGCTTTCACATTATTGGTTTTGATATTTTTGCCTTGATATAACTGATGAGTGACTAAAGCCTCACTGCACCTCAACGCTTTTGTCCGTATTGGAGCGCTTGACTGAAGCGTATTCAATGATGGGGCTTTAGTAGATGATTTAAGCTTGGCGTTCTTTTTATCCTCTTCAGATTGCTGTGGCTTTTCACCTCTCACCTTCTTCCATAAGGTTGTGTTCCAGTAGTTCTTAATTTCATTGTCTGTTCTCCCAGGAAGCCTCCCGGCTATTAAAGACCACCTTCAACACCCACCAAAAAAAAAAAAAAAAAAAAAAATTCAATACATAAATGTTTCCTTATTCTTGAAAAGGACACAAATTAGAAGAAAACAAAGAAATATATATGTCTAATTAAAAAGCAGAGTGAGAGACAGTGAGAAAGACCTGTTGCCTAAGAGCTTGTGGAGCCTAATGATAAGATCTTCTTCTTCTTGAGAAATGTTGCCTCTCTTGATATCTGGTCTGAGATAATTCAACCACCGAAGTCTGCAACTTTTTCCGCATCTCTTTAGACCTGCACCCAACAGAATATAAATTATTTTCATGGGTTTGTTTTTTTATACACTCAGCAAATTAACAATACTCAAATAAGTTTGAAAGCTAAACGTACCGGCTTCCTTTGGAATTCTTCTCCATTTCCCTTCACCATGAGTTTTGATGTAATCACAGAGAATTTGGTCCTCAATAGCAGTCCAAGCTCCTTTGTTCAGTCCCTCTTTTGAGCAACAAGGTGCTCTTCCCATTTGATCTTTACCTCTTCAGCTTGGTCTCTCAGTCTCTCTCTTATAGACAGTTCTCGATGTTCATTTGGTCATGAGCATATCCGATGTAATATGAATCTTTTCACTGCAGTCTTATTAAATAATTAATTAATAACACGTTTCACACGGGGATTAAAAATTTGACTTACCATACAAATTGGGGGGGGTCATTATTCTTAGTTAATGAAAATTGCATCATATAATTAAATAATTTCGGGCTTTGTAGCTCTAATTAGTTGTTCAGACAGTACCATCTTTTCCGTTTCGTAATCTCTAAATTACTCGTAAAATGTAATGATTTTGTGGCTGAGAAATGAACAATTTTAAATTATACATATCCACTGCACTGAATTATAGACAAAATTTTGCTACATGTTCTCTACTCTAAATTGTGTTAAAATTTTTCGGTTAATGTGCATAGTACACACAAAATATTTAATATCTTTTCCATAAAGATGCACGTACACTGAGGAGGAATCGTGCCTTAAGGGTTGTTTAATTGACTTCCAAGGAGGTAACAGTGGCACTCTTAATTTTAATAATTTATATTAAGATGAGAATATATTATTCTTTAGATTTATATTATATGAACGTACCTGACACCTGGTGTAATTTGTATGGATTACATGAGACCCACGTTAAGATCCTCTAAATCAGAAAATATATCTTGCATTGGAGTGTGATATATACTTGTCAAGGTTCTAGTAATTTACTACCATCCGATTATATATGTCTGGTGTCTTTGATGGCTTCAAAAATACACTGGAGGACGTACATGCTGAAAGTTGTAAATGCAAATTAATGGTGAACTGAATTTGTCTAACTGTGTCTGTTTTTCGTGCATTACTTTTTCAGTTTTCACTCAGTAGAGCAGCCGATTTGTAGCCTTTTGAGTTTTGAAAGGTCGATTATATTCATCATTTTCTTATTTTTGACGGCTTTGGATTTGCAGAACTGCTAAAACAATTCATCAAGTGGGATTATATTGTGTTATAAATTCATGTACATGACGTAGCGATAAATTGTTCTTACCAAAGCAGGCTGCTTATTTATAGAGGCAATAGCCAAAGGAATATGAGTTCAAATTTGACATTGCTACGACGACAAGTTTGGTATAAATATAAAGAGAAGAGGGAAATATAAAATTATCATATTGGTTCATAAATATACGATTACGTACTAGGGCAAAAAATTGGATGAAAAACTTAAGGGCCAAAAACAGACAATAATTTGTTGCGTGAGATTGTGATTGCACCGACAATTTATCACCACACATATTACCTACCCATGCACAGAACTTTTCATTATTGTAAATTTATTGATCCACGTTTTAATATTGATGGTAGATGTATATTAATTACGAGGGATTTTGGGAACGGGATTCATACATCATTCAGAGAATGATGTATATGGGCGATGGGCCTATCTTATTAATGAATGATTAATATAATGTATGTTGCCGGGAGTGGAAGTTATAAGAAAGAACATATAATATTATATCTATAATATATAATTAACCTAATTTTAAGCATCGATGAGATTCAATATTATAAATATGACATTCATTTTTTATTTTAAAGAATTCGTTTCCGCAACTCCACACCTAAATAATATTTCATGTAGTTAAATTTTTATAAAAAAACTAATTCTTATAATCCAATTAAATAATTTAAAATGAAAGATAAACTAAATAAATTAAAAATAAATAATATGTCAAACATACAAGATTTTCATAATAATTTGTAAGAAATAAATTGTATAATTGTTCAACAAAAAACCAGTAGTAGTTAGCTTTCTAGTGAATAATTAAAAAGAAACCCTTTAAATCTATATTACAGCTCTAAATCTTAAGAATTTTCCATTAGGCATATTTTTTTCTCAAAGTTATTATATATATACTACGATCTAAATTAAGTATTACAGTTTGAAATATTATTTAGTAGATATTTATTGAATATAGTATGTTATAGATAACATATTCTATTTTGAGTTGTTGTCACTGAAAGATTTTATTGCCTCTCGATATTGTACATAAGATACGCGATTGTGATAGATGGCGTTTTATTTTTCTCGGTGGAAATTACCATTTCTCCATTGGTTCTTGCTCAGTGAGACATGAGAATCTCGATCTTTTACTTTACTAGTTTATATATTTCTTTCTATTTTATTATTTGTTTATAATTTACCATTATCCATTTTCTACGGTAGGTTTTTAGGTGTTCGTGAAATAGTATGGATTTTCCCACTTTGTAATTATTGAAGCAAGTTGATTGATTAATTAATTAAAACTCCTTACATCCCGGGCTTTCACTTCTCAATTATTGGTTTATTTTTCACAGTAAGAGTATCAATTAATCAAAGTTTATTAAACAATTTATTTTAAAATATCAATATAATAGTAATAGGTTCGTTTTTATATGAGTTCTTGATTAGATTCCGATTTTATAACATAAAAGGAGGAAGCATGAGATGAATGAGAGACTCTTTTTCTTGGTCAGTCCTTATTGGGTTATAATATTCTATTCTATCCCAGGACTAACAAGCCTCCGGCAAGGTTAGTGGGGAGGTAACGTAGTTAAGACTGAGAGGGTCAACGGGCAAAGTAAGGCTAAAATACTGTTGAACTCTTGACCTTTTTGTTGTGAATGAAATACAAGGAAACACGTAGCACTATTAGACAATAGATTGTTTTGTCTTTTCTTATTTTTAAATTTTTTATTGCCAGCATACATTGACCAAAAGGAAACGTAGACATCACCCTTTTTTTTTTAATCCACACTTTTAATTCCTGGAGTCCATATCGTCTTTTTTGATGCTTTAAATTAGTTAAATTAATTGACTTTCAGAGTGTGATTCTTAATTACTTCTGAAAGTGGATTTATTTATGGATTAATTTTACTTAATATATAAAGTTATTGAAACAAGTATTACGTATTTCTATAAGAACATTCATGTAATGGAACGGAAGAAATTGTTTAAACTTTAAACAAACGATTGATTGAAGTCTTCTATACGTATCATCTCACTCTCTGGTTATTTATTTTGAGCCATGCACATTTATAAAGGAAAATGAGTGTACATAAATTTCTTCGGGATTGATTGATTGATTGCACCTTTCTATACACTGCTTTGATAACAAGTGTACATATAACCCCACCAAGTATAAGTCCCAAAAGAAGATCATATTTGTATAATATGATACATTATAATCTGTTCATGTTATAAAATAAAATTCTATCAATTAACAATTAATATCCAAAATAATCTGTTCATGTTAGTTTATAATATATTAAATGAACAAATTATGGATGAAGAGTTAAAAGGTTATATTCTAAACTTTTTAAAGACCAGTAATTGACACCAGTTAACGCTCAGAAAATATTAAGCATACATATTTTCTCATAGAACTCAATGCAACAAGAGAAAAGAAAACTCCTCCAGATGTAAAGTCAATCACAAAAGTACCAAAATATCAAATACAGTCTTACAAAGTATAACGTTAACAGTTTCTAATCAGCCCTGCCCCCACTCTGAGATTGAGATGCATGCATCTATATAATTAAATCTTAGACTCAGGCAATCAAATGATGCTGATGATGAGTCTACACGGATTCACGGAATTACTGTATTACTATTACACACAACTTGGCTAAATACCGAGACCAAGTAATTAAAATAACTAGAACAACCAGTATTCCTCACATGATTCATAAAAAGAAGCCAGAGATGCGAAACCTGATTCCATCTTTGCTTCAAAATAATCACTGTCCTCGTTCCAGTTCTCTATCATTTTCTCTTTTACTAGATATGCTTCACCTGCTATGCCTTTGGCCTCGCTCTTATCGTTAATTGTTGCTTCTTCTATCACATTATCATCGAATTCATTAAGCTTGTTGAAACTGAAAGCAAGAATTTCTGAGAGATCTATACCCCCAACATCAAAATCTATCGTATAATCGGAGGAATTTTCCTCTCTAGACAGGAATGAAAACGAACCATCATTAGATTCGGATTCTGCAGCCATGTCATGCATAACGGGGACATCCATCGATAGGGGCTCGACTAAAACACGATTTTCAGTTTTATCATGTGGTTGGAAGGTGACGAAATCACGGCTGCATCGCACTGCCCTGGACTTGATAACACCTGAGCGAGGGGCCTCGTTAACGGTTCTGACCTCAGATGTCTTCTCAATTTTGAAATGATTTGATTGTTTTGCGCGTGCGCTCTTTGATAATTTGGTGTTCCAGTAATTTTTAATTTCATTGTCTGTTCGCCCTGGAAGTCTCCCTGCTATAAGAGACCATCTACATCCACAAATAATTAAGTTAGTAAGCCTATCAACCAATACTGATTTCTGTGTAATCGATAATAGACAGAAATTACCTGTTTCCTAAGAGTCTGTGGAGTCTGACGATGAGATCTTCTTCATCTTCAGTCAGATTGCCTCTTTTGATATCAGGCCTCAAATAATTCAGCCACCGGAGCCTGCAACTCTTCCCACATCTCTTAAGACCTTCATGACATAATTATAGGCGTAAATTTTAAGCATAACAAAACTTTAATGAGCTACTAAAACTAATTTGATTGATTGTAATTGTGTGTCTGACCTGCGTCTTTGGGAATGTTTCTCCATTTGCCTTCACCGTGAGCCTTGATGTATTCAGTGAGTAGTTTGTCTTCGATGGCTGTCCAAGCTCCTCTATTCAGTCCCTCTTTAGAGCAGCAAGGACTCCTTCCCATTTCAACCTCTCACTTTCTATTTTCTCCCTCTGTATGAAAGTTTGTGTCAGATGTTTAGCATATTTCTAGAGAAAGTTGCTCATCCTTTCCACTTTAGATGCCTAGCAATTCTTATAGACGTCCTGATTCACTCCTTTCAAATTTAATATTATTATCTTTTAATGTATTTCACACATGGGTAGGCTGCCTGCATGACCAAGACCAGCATGTTGGGATTTTTTAAATTAAATAAAATAATCCCGAACGTGATTCAATTGCATGTGCAGTCAGTAATTAACAGTTGAGATTTCAAGCGTGTGAGCCAAAAGCATGTCTTATGTTATTGGGTGATACGTGGTTGTAATTAAATCAAGTTTGAGATAATATTGTACTGGTTGATAATTTCATAACATTAAGTTGAGTGTGATAGATTTAATATTTAATATATTCATCTACCATTCAATTCATAGTTTATTCATTTGAACTTCCAAACTAACTTTCCCGGTGGGTTCTGGAAACTAAGAAAGTTGGTTGTCCGACTGCGCTCTCATCACAGTCTCTATAGTTGAAAATGGACAGGCTATTTTGAAAGAGGGGGACAAATGTTTCAATAATTGTTCCATTTGTTGAAGCACTCTCTTCATGTCAATATCGAAATCAATTCAATTTAATTTCAATCCGATTATTATCACTGAAGCAATAAAGCCTATATATTAGTTCAGACTCCCATGCTGACTTTTCCAAGTTTTTAATTACAAAATCTTAATATCATACCTTAAGTATAATTACTGTAACAAAATGGGACGAGCTAGAATTATAAAACGGACAACTGGCTGTAATTTTATTAAATATTTCCAACACAAATTACCATTGAGTATTGACCGCATGCATAATGTCGTAGCTAGCTGTACGTAGCAGTTTACTTTGTCTCTTACAGTAAAATTAAATAGTTTCAGCAAAATACGATAAGATCCATAATTAACATTTGATATATAATATTGGTAGGCAGATCTGTGATCTCTTTTCTCCTTGTTGAGAGTATGGGATTTTGTTTATATCCAATTCCTTACCTACCATTTAGCTAACACATGCAAACCATAAATATGCATCACTAAAATATATAACAACATGGGAATTGATTAATATTTGATGCGGATGCAGAGAATTTAATGACCTACAATAAGATATCGTCTCCCATTCTTATTTAATTATAACCCCATCATATATTATTAACTTGTCCACTGGCATTGGACAACTTGCAAGCTGGCCTTGTCAATTGTATATTAATTCCATCACTCTATGTTGTACCTAAACACACATTTATTGCCTACTTGTTTAATATTAATTGCAGGAAGAGTAAAAGATAAGATTTGTTTTTCTCATCGAAACACGGAATGCCATTTTGTATATTCCTACCATTAGGCTAATAGTATTTATCAGTATCTGGGTTAATTAATTTGTCAAGTATTAATAGTATCTTAATTCAATATTCTTTACACCGAATTAATTTTGTTCATAAAGAGACTCTGTAAATGTATAGAACCGAAGATTTATAGACCGGCTATGGAGAGGTAAAGCCTGGTGGGTTGCCTCGGATGGGATGGAAAAGAAATTGTTACAAAGGATGTTGATTCGGTGGCTAATAAATCGGGTGGAACGGTTGAAATAAAAAATCGGATAGAGTGTTGATAGTTTATAAAACTATGGGTGGGAAAATGTCGATTCTTCAAACGTAGGGTGGAAAGTTATATATTGACCATAGTATGCGGTTGGCGCTTGGTAAAGGTTTTTTTTTTTTTTTGTTGGCTGCAAACCATATGATGGAGACTGTGGCGTCTGGTGTTTTTGGTATGGAGTGGATATACCGTGTTTATCGTGTTTAGGTTTTGCAAGAAGGTTATTAGTTTTCACCATATGTTTTAGGGTCTGATTAAAGGGATAAAAAGAATATATAATTCAATTTTTTTAATTAATTATCGTTTTTATCTCTTAAAATAATTTGTTTAGTTATGAAAAAAATTTATTTACCCCTCATTCATTATTTTCAAACTAACAATTGTCTGATTGAAGGATGATTTTAAAAATAAAAAATTAAGGATCCGTTTGAGAGTTTCATGGTAACGGTTATGAGGATAAGCCACCGTAACGGTTTTAAGGATAAACCACCGTAACAGTTTTGAGGAGTTTTTAGTAGCGGTTTTTAAAACATCCAACATGTGCTTGAGAGTTTATTTTTCAGCGGTTCTGACAGTTTTTTAAAATGATAAATTTACATATATGCCCATAAAAATACCACAACTACAACCAGTACTTTGAGAGTTTTGTTTTTTCAATTACAACGTAAGAGTTATTTATTTGTTTTCTACTTATTAGCATTTTATAGCTTCAAATGTGATAAAGTCTCATTATTCTTCTTCGCCATTTTTTACAATATCTAGAATGATTGAAAAATTATAGCTCCACTTCTCTAAGAAAGTATCTAAAAATGATATTTTAATAATTTTCTTTAATGGTTGCTTAAAATTATTTTATATTTAATATGGTTGGAGATGCGCATAATATGTTTAATATTTTTTGGATATAATTGGGATAGTTTTATAGTGGATAGGGTATTTGTGGAATAAAATTTTAACCACAATTTGACGTGTTTTACAAACCCCTAAAAAATACACTATATCGTTTTTGGAAAGTTTTTGACCTTGTCAAAACCAGTGCATAAAAAATTTAGAAGTGATAATTTTAGAATCCCTCAAAATCAGTCTAATTAAAAAAACTCTAGTTAAAAAAAAAAAAAAAAAAAAAAAAAAAAAAAAAAAAAACTCCAAGGAATTAATGTTGTGAAATTCTAGACTAAAACTTGGCTAAGGCCTAAGGATGCGATTGTAGTGACAGGTGGCAGACGTGAGATGGGGTGGGGTAGGGTAGGGACGTAGGGTAGGTAGTTTTTCATTTATTTATTTATTGTTTAACTTTTTATTTTATTTATATATATAATTTATAAAAATGTAAAAGACTATTTTACCTTTCTAATATTTTCAGAGTTTGGACGGGGCTAAGGATTTGGGGGATGTTTGAATATTTTTTATAAAGCTATGGGTTGACTTATTTAAAATGAAAGTTTTCACCACCATGAGACTTTCTAAAACAATGGGTTGGGGCCTTGGGGGGCAGGGCCGCAGCTCGCAGGAGCAGAGCCAGCATTGGCCCAGGATGCACCACTGTCATCCCTGACATATCAAAATACCCAAAAAGTTTACAAAATGATAATTACACCCTGAATAGTGTCTATACTTTTTAAATTATCCAATCCAATAATCATATCCAAAAACAAAATAAATAAGATAGATAGATTATAAATAAATAAGGATCATGTTATAAAAATTTAATTAAACTCATTGCATGTAAAAAAATTGTAAAACAAATATTTTTTTTCTAAACTTAATAAATTATGGTTTTGATGTAGGACAAATAACTTATTATCTTAGGAATTCTATTCTAAATAGTTTTTTATTTAGTTTAACTTTAGGAAATTAAGATTTTTTATGGATTTTTTTTTTTTTTAAGTTAGTATCATTTATTTTATTTGACTTGTTTAACAATGTTGACAATGATGTTTTTCAAAATATCAAAACACATCGAAAACAATTGTAATTATATTGAATAAAAAAATATTAATAATTGTTAAGTTTTAAATATTTTTCTACTAAAGATATATAAACTTAAAAAAAAAAAAAAAAAAAAAATACTAAACCCATGACCATGGCGGGCGCCACTCAATGTAGGCCATTTCCTTCAATTCATCCAGCACTTTTATTAGTGATCTGATTTTCAAAAGCTACCAAATTCTTTTATAAATCTGGATATAATAATTTAATCATCTTAAAAAATGATTAATTTCAAAATCAATTTTCCCAACACTCCTAAACATAGTCTTAATATATAATTAAGCTGTATCTTTAAATGTTACCAAATCTTTAATGGCGTGTTTAAGCTGTGAAATTGGTGGTTTATGGCTATTGGAAACCGCTGCAATTTTATCTAAGTTCAACATGGTAAGAATAAGACTCTTGAAATGATCGGAAGAAGATAGAGGCAAAAAGGAATATATAATTATTGATATTAAATAAGAATATTATTGTCAAAATAATTTAAGTGAACTACTTAAACATTTTTCATTAATTTAAAAACAAACAACTACATTATGCAAATTAAGTTTAGGGAATTGTTCTTGATCCCCACCATTTTAATTGATAGTCCTCATCTTTTATTTTAGTAAAGTTTTTGAGGAATTATATGTTATTTTTATTTTTTTGATGTAAAATAAAAACTAGCCCCAAAGTCGAAGTATTTCACAAAATAGCCTAACTAAAATTTTCTAAATTTGAAGAACAAAATACCCACCAATACACATTTCTTTATCTTCTTCCAAACTCACACAAATATATGTGTAGAAAACATGTTAATTACAAGTATTTTTATAAGTCTTATCGATTATTGATACCCTCTATCTCTGTGGTGAAACTTAGAGATACCCCCTACAAACCAGACCCATGGCCCTCGTAGGTCCCTATTCGTGGGTATTGATCACTTCTCATAGTCTTCAATCTTTGGACTGCTCTTCTACCAATACCCAGTCCTAGGTTTCGTCAACAACATCAAAATCCTTCAATTTTCAATATCCTTACTTAAAAATTAACCCAAACAACTAACATTAACCATCCATCTACATAAGATACCTTAATTTACATGTTTCTTACACACATATTTGTCAATCTTGTAATCATGCAAGATCTCTATAAAATCACACAATATCACCTCCAGCAAATCGAAATATATTATGATTTGGTAGAGATTTTGATTATGGTGAATGAATTAGATGAGTTTTGAAATATAAGTTAAAGAAATGTGAATGAAGGCAATTTCGTCCTTCAAAATTAGGAAAATTGAGTTAGGCTATTTTGTGAGATAATTTTATTCTTTTAGGCTAATTTTCATTTCATACCCTAAAATAGGGGTAAATAACATAATCAAAGACATGAAAATTATAACCTACAAAAGATTAAATCAAATGGTTTTTCATTTTAAAACAACAATTGAAAGCACTTTGAAGTTTGAATGACTAATCTTATACTAATTTAAACTAGGAATTAAGAAACTCACTCTTGTATAATTGAACCTTGTTTTTTCGTTGCTTATCAATGATCAATTCGTGAATTTTATTTTTCATTATTCATATATAATATAATATAAACATAACTTTTATTGAATAAAAAAAATTGAATTTCTTTCTTTATAAGATGATGGCTCATTTTAGATAAATTTGAAAGAAGTTAGGGATGGTGAAAAATTTTAAAGGGAGAAATGGAAATGGCACAAGAAGTTGCTTAGGAATAAAAGGGTCGTTTTAAAATATATATATATAAAATTTTTAAAAGAATTTTATTCAATTTGTGGCTTACAAAAAAATTTAATGGACATAAATACACTCTCTTCTAATATTCATTTAGTCTAAACTCTAAAGCCCAATTATTTTGAATTAAAATATAAAAGCATTCAAAAGTAAGTATTTGAATAATGTATATATGAATATCACAATACTCTATTTGATTTCAAATCTGAAATATATAAAATAAGATTTCAAATTTGAAATACAGAGAGAATAAGAATATTTTATTTGCATATTATAAAGACGATTAACAAAAATTAGTTTATTTTTTTTTATTTTAAAGAATTTCATTAATGTACGTAGCTTGAGGTCAGTATTGGGCCAGCGTGCCAGAGAAAATGAACTTGGAAGATGTGCGGCCATTTTTATATAACTCCTAATAATAATTATTTATTTATTTATTCTTTCACGGAAGATTTGGTTGTTATATCTTTAATTTTCTCTTGAAACCTCGATCGATTTTGTCTGGCTAAGTGGTTGAGTTGATAGATTTTTTTGATCGAATTCGACTGACAAAATTTATTAATAATTAACAAAAATATATGCATATAGGCCATCATATAAATTGATACCTGAATAATTAATTAATTGATGCACATAGACGTATTGGCGTGAGGTCGAATTTTTATTTGTGTCCTACTGCTAAATACGTCAATGTATAAATTAAAGACGTATAACTAATAATTTGACATAACAAATTTAGAAAATAATATTATTTTTAAGGCATTTATATAATATAAAAATAATTAGGTATTCTCTCATGTCACGTATAAACAGGTTTCTTGCATATAATAATAATATACTACTAATCAAATTCAAAGCGTTTGGTGAAGATTAATACGAGCGAAACGTGTTGAACAGGTGAATTAATTGTCAGAGCACCTAATCGAAATTGCATTAAATTTCTAGAAGAGTTCTGAGATTTGAAAGTTAGCTGAGACATATGGTGATAATTTCATGATCAATTTATTTGAAAATAAGTCTCAAGGTACAATTATCGCTCATGCATAGAGAAATATAAACAAAGGTCAATAACATTAATGATTCAGTACACAAAAGAGATAATTCCATGGAAAATAAAATAAAATCGTAGTGCATAGCTATCTGGCTTTTGCAGGCAGGATCAGGTTATCCCTTATCCCTTTTCTTCCAACTTCTGATTATTTATTTTCAGTATTCTTATCCCAAAGTCAGATTAGAAATTCATAAATTTCAAATATGACTTTATTATTATTGGAAATAAATTTGACACTAACGTTGCTTATGTTAGTATGTATACCAGCATTTATTTCCCAGATTCTCTGTGGGAGACCGGAACTTTTTTATTTTTTTTTCAAGTCAAGCAATTCATTGTCATTGATCAATGATATCCAATGAGAAACAGAATATTAATAACTTAATTAGTTATCTAATATAAATTTCATGATTTTCTTCACTTTAGATCTTAACTAATGAAAACTCTTTAACCTAACCAACCGCGCATTAAAAGTTTGGAATCTTCCCTTATTTCAAACTTTCACAAGTCGACGACATATATTTTACAAGAAATAACACTCAGGATTTTCTGAGTCTGAGTCTTCCTTGCTTGCCTTGATCTCTCTTATAAACCATCCACGTACTAATCATATCCCAGGAAGTTTTTATATATTACAAGAAACGTTTTGTAGTTGGCAACATAATTAAACAATATTTTAAAATATATATTAAGATATTAAGGGTCCGTTTGGTTCATTATTCTGATACTTTTTAGAATAATATTTTGAAAAAAGTTAAATTGGGTGGGTATTACGATGTAGGATCTGAAAATTAACAAAAATACCCTTTATGTTTATTTATTTACTAAACACCCCTATAATAAAATATTAAAAGTTAACAAAAATACGTCAAACCCATCCATTAAATACGGACGGCCGGCCACCACCGCCGGAGGGTGGCCAGAGTCGCCGTATCGGCGCATGACCGGCTGGATCTTGCCGGTCGTGCGCCGATATGGCCTTTTTCGGTCAGATCTGGTCGTATTTGGTCGTCAATGACGACCAAAGATATGGCCGTTGTTGATGGTCAACGACGACCATATCTTGACCGTGGTTGACGACTGACTATGGCCAAAGATCTGGTCTTTTTTTGCCGTATTCACTGTAGATTTGGCTAGAAAAGGTTAGATCGGTGTACTATTAGCCAGATTTAACCAGTAGTACGCCATTATACCCAATTTCGGCCAGCTTCCAGCAGTGGTGGCCGGAATCTGATAAATTTGGGTTATTAGGGTGTTTTTGCAATTTCTAAAAAAAATTTGGGGGTGTTTAGTTAAATTAACAAATTTAAAGGGTTTAAAAGAAATTGAATAATATAGAATAATATTTTAAGAATAAGTCAATTTTACTGTTTAACTTTATTGGGAAAACGCAATGCTATTTGGAAGAGTAAATCAAAGGGAGCCTAATTCTCCATGCACTTTCACTCCAGTAACAATCAACAAGACTTTAAAAAAATAATTAATTAATTGATATAATTTTTGCCTGATGCTTAAACAAATAAAAAACTGTAGTTGCGTCCTTGCATAAGAATGAAAAAATTATTTTTCCTCTATTGGCGGGCCGGCTTAAGGGGTAGGCAGGTGAGGCACCTGCCTAAAAATGAAAATGGTTTATAATTTCTTATCTAAGCCAAGAGGCCCCCAAAAAAAAGCCGAAAAAGCTCAAATTTATTATAAATTTTTTATATATATTCTCACCCAAAGTTTAACAAAATAGCAAGTTTGTACCTCTAGTTTTATATATTCTAGTTTATACCCCTAAATTAACACATTGAATCTCTTTTAACAATGAAAGACTAAAATAGTCATTTACATATCTCAAATTACTCACCCCCAATTCAATCCCAAAATTTGACATTCACATAAATCATCTCCAACCCTCTTCTGCCGCCAGTGGTTTGGAGTTGATTTCGGTTAATTTTGGTTCCGGTCGATTTTCTCACCAAAATCATCATTTTATCATTTCCCAACCTTGATAGCCCTCGATTTGACTAATTTTTTATGAATCTCGCAACCCAACTCCACCACACACGACAAACATTTCCCCTTTTTGGCATACCCGACATTGTTGGCCTTTCCCGACACCACCATCTTCCTCCCCCTCAGCCCTCTCACCAAAACCCCTATCATACCCTTACGTTACTCTTGCCAATATCGGCCATCGATACCTTTGGGCCGTGACTTCTCAAGTCTTTTTTTATCACTTTGGCATTGGAAATCACCCATTTCACCACCCATCACTTCTCCAACATCTACTCTTCAAAACCCCCCACCAACCTAACCTTGTTAGCCTCGATTGCTGCCACTTCTCCTAGTGATTTTTCATCTCAAAAGGCAAAAAAAAAAAAAAAAAAAAAAAACAATTGAAATAATTTTTTAATATATGTTTATTATTAGAGGGCCCCAAAGTAACTCCTGCCTAGGGTCACAAATGTTCTAGAGACGGGCGGGGCATTTTTTTCTTGACGGAGAGCTATAAAAGGGCCCAGGTGGACTTCTTTTAACTTATTTCAACTCGAAGAGAGACGCAGAGAGAGAGAGAGAGAGAGAGAGAGAGAGAGTAGAGTAGAGATGGGAAGGAGTCCATGTTGCTCCAAGGAAGGACTGAACAGAGGAGCTTGGACTGCCATAGAAGATAAAATACTCACTTCTTACATTAAAGTCCATGGAGAAGGCAAATGGAGAAACCTCCCCAAAAGAGCTGGTATATACATTTTATTTATACATATACCAAAATTTTTTTTTTCGTTGTTTCCACAAATCAAGGAGATGTTAAACATGCAGGTTTGAAGAGATGTGGGAAGAGTTGCAGACTGAGATGGTTAAATTATCTAAGACCGGACATCAAAAGAGGTAACATATCCCATGATGAAGAAGAGCTAATAATCAGACTTCATAAGCTTCTTGGTAACAGGTAATTTATTCAAATTAATTAATTATTATATATTCTCCTGCTCTGACTTTTATTTAGATAACAGAGTCATGGATTAATTGTTTCAAGAGCTAATAATCAGACTAAAATATATGTAGATGGTCTTTAATAGCTGGAAGGCTACCTGGGCGAACAGACAATGAAATCAAGAACTATTGGAACACTACTCTCGTTAAGAAAGCTAAACCTCCATCATGTCAACGAAATCCCCAAACCAAATCTCGACTGAAAAAGAAAGTCTGTGAGCCCAAAACTACCGAGCCATCAGATTCATCACTCTCTCAACAAGCTGATAAAATCCAGGTCATCCGAACTAAGGCCACTCGGTGCTCCAAAGCTTTGGTTTCGTTATTACATCGGCCGCAGAGTACTGATCAAATTGACACATTACAGCTTCAACATCACCAAAGTTACTTGACAGATCAACCACAAAACTTTACTGATCCCGAAGAAGTTGACCACGATACCGAAGATTTTCTCGAGATGCATATTGCTCATGACTCCAGTTTCTTCAATTTTGGTTGCCACGATGATGCAAAGCTGGAGGCGGTAAGCTACACTGACAATAATATGTGTATGACGTCTCTGGAAACTGACCCATCCGGACAATTTGATGAGCCGACAATCAAGTGCTGGAACACGAACTTCTTGGAGGATAACGCAACGATGAACCTGGAATCATTGGCATTCTTGCTTAATCCTGAAGAATGGCCTTGAAAAAGTATAGATATTGATAAGGAAAAATTGGAAAAAAAATTATTATAAATCAATAAGACAATACATGTAAGTGAGTCAGTAGTAGTAACAGTCAGTAGTACTATTGTTTTTAATGTGAAAAAAACTTGTAGCCAATTACGTTGGAGTTCGTTTTTGGCGTTCTGAATTTCATGTGTTGGGGTCTCTTTTAGTCTTTCCTCAGACATTAGCTAATCTATGATTGCCGTCGTGAATGTTACGAAGATCACGTGCTTTCTTTTTCTTTCAAATGCTACTGTATGTAAGAATGGGTAAAGATGGATTGATAAATATTTTTTCATAATTTTTTCTTATAAACGTTAACATGACAGTTTATAATTGATTAATTTGTATTTGATTAAGTGAAATCTATTAGGAGTTGACTAATTATGAGTTGATCCGTCAATTTTTTTGAGAGAAAATCAATGAAAAAATTTATGAGTGTAGTATTACTCATGAATTAATGAAACTTTTAAGGTCTTTCAAAGTAAATAATTATAGATTTTGGCATGATCCTGGGCGGTGGTCACCGCAATTAAATTTTATTGCATTTGCAGAGTTACAAAGGTCAAAATATTTGCACGTGATGATAACGAAATTTCAACCATCCGTTGGCATGAGAAATTAAAGGTTAACCCTTACTTTATTAGGGTTTTTTTTTTTTTTTTTCAATAATACTATACTTACAAAAAAATCTTACACAGATTTCCATACAAAATGAGGTTTTTATACAAAGTGAGGTGACAAAAAATGAATAGAATAGTAAAATAAAAAGTCAAACTTATTAAATTCACTCTTTCATTCATTTTTTGGTTCCATTTATTTTTTTTCACATCACTTTGTATGAAAATCTTTATAAGTGTAGTATTACTTTTTTTTTTTTTTTGTTCATACCAAGTCGAGTAATCAATTCATTGTGCGTCATAAGATTTTCCAAAGATAATTAAAACCGAGTGGTGTATATTCATACTACTCTTAAATGACATTACTAATCGTATTTATAATGATGTCTATTAATTGGGACCAAACCAAATCCTTTGTCTGGGGAAAATGGGCAATCGACAAAAACAGAGGCTAAAAGAGGACTCAAAATTTGTCCTGGAAGGATTTAATTTCGTCTTCAATAAGCATACATTTCGGCTAAAAGAGGGATAGATTCAGCCTTCAACCATCGGAATATAAGTAAAAAGTTTATAACTTTCTGAAAACTTAAAATAGTAAATCCTAAAAGTGTCCGTCAAATAATAAAATCCAAAAAGTTAAATAGTTTTTCTTTTTTTTTTGTTGTTTTCCGTTAAAAAAAAAAATCGACAATATGTTGAATATAAAAACAAATCCAAATTCAAACGTTAATCTTTCTAAAGTCTGTTTCTTTGAGTTTTAATTTTTCAGGTTTTTACCGCTTCAGCAAATAGCCGTGGCTTCTATTCTACATCTGTGTTGCGTAGTAATTAGTAAAATATACTTTCCGTTTCCTACTATATAGACCATTGAAAGATGTACGTTTACAAATCCGTATCAATCTCATCACTGGTAATTTGATTATAATAGAATAATAGAAGAATTTGACATGAAGACCCCAACGATCTAACAAAAATCAAGCTTCTTTAGGTCACCAAATACGCAAAATGCAAAACCCCAGAAAGCCATACGGATGAGTTCTATCAGTTTGATTCTATACAGTTTTCTTGTTAATCAATCTCTTATCATCAGTGCAGAATACTATATATTAATTTTCTTGTTAATCAGAATGCTACGAGTACTAATTCTTTTTTTGTTGATCATATTTTTTCTGAGACACGTAAATATTTTTGAGGTTTGAGAGGTGCTTCCATGTTCAACAACCCACGAGACACGTACAAAAGAAATAAAAGAAGTTTAGCTGAAGAAACACATAAACGTGCGGGCAAAATAATTCAAAGCTCAGAAGAAATATCATGCAAGAAATTTAGGTTAAATTATTGGTTTCATCACAAAAATTTAACCCTAATTTATTGGTTAATTTGGACAGAGTCCTGGAATATATATTTGATTCGTAGATTCTCGGGTGTGTTGTTCTCCTGTGTGGTTGATCTCTACGGGAAATCATTTTATTTACTCAAACCAGAATATATAGTTCATTTTACATCCTCAGATTTGACAGGAATAAAGTGCCATGTAGAAAAGCAACCAAAATATGAATTAACAATAAATACAAAAAGAAAATTCATATGGGTTATATATAAATTTTCTTTTTCTAATTTTGTCATTATACAATTAAGCTTCTTCTAAGAGGGTATCTTAAATAATTAGATAATTTATTATTTCACTTCCCTTAAGATTTTGTCTAAATTTTAGCAAAAATAATCCTAGTTTGTTGTCTAATTATTTATAGTAGAGACAGCTTTCAAACCCAGAATTTAAAACTTTATAGTAGAGACAGGCTATTTTCGTCAACAACATCAAAATCCTTAGTTTTCAACATCCTTAGTTAGAAATTATATATATAATAAAACATTACCAAACTGGTATGTTGTCCATGTATAATTTCTACACATTTCTTTTCTAAAGAGAGAAGGCATATCACGCTATTATTATAATTTTATTGACTTGCGAAAGCGAATTTGCATTTCATGAAATAGATTCATTCATAACCTGGCCAAAATTATGTCATATCAGTCGCCTGACAACGGGAATACTGAGGCCTTTCTTTTTTGTTATACTATAATAGCAAAAACTGATCTATCACCGCAACACAAACAAACCAAGAAACACAAGAATACCACAAAATCAAACAAACAAACAAACAATGATTTACCGTGGTTCACTTATCTTTTTATGGATAAGCTACATCCACGTTGAGCTCAAGAACGGTATGAGCTCGCTGCACTTCAATTACCAGAAACCAGTCAAGATTACACAGATTCAACACTCACCAGATCTCCCCGTTTACACGGCAATCAGCCTTACAAGATACCCGATGAATATCCCAACCCGAGAGGACAACACTCTCACCTGAATGATTAAAGCCCTAATCACTCGACTGATACACACACAATCTGGAATGTAGAATATGAACCCTAACACAGAGAAAAAAGAAACGACTCAAATAACCCTAGCCACTGTCTATCTCTCTCTCCCTTGAAAACTGAAAGAACATATGCTTATATATGGTTTGACTCTTTGAGTGATCCTGGCCGTTCAATCTGAAACGCATCCTGTGGTCTGAATTCGCCCAAGTTAATATGCCTAAAACGACGCCGTATTAGTATCCCTTAAACGACGCTGTTTCAGGCTTCCATATTTAACATTTTTCAAGAGTTTCATTTTATTCATCCATGACTTTCTCGCACGGATATATATATATATATATATAAGATGCTCAAATCATGTTGAAACTGCAGAAAGAAAGGAAAAAGTTGAAAATGATTTTTGGTCAACAGTTGCTCATCCTCAAGTCTTGGTCGACGGTCATGTCATTGATAAATTGGAGCTTAACTTATTAATTTAATATTTTGGATTAAGTTGCTTATCACGCATGGTGTTGTATGCTAGAGTTAATGTCTTCTGTTCGAACAAACATTGATGTGAAAATCTGATCAATGGCTTTTTTTGTTGTTGTTGTAAAGTCGATGATACTTGATGTTAATGTTTGATTTTGACACTAAATATTTTGTACGTGTAAAGTGTTAAGAGAATCTTAGAAATTATACTTGACATGATTGTAAGAGTTGTGTATAGTGCAGTAATAATATATGTTTGTAGAAATATAAATAAAAGATTGATAAGAGAGATTTTTATAATGGTTTAGATGCTTAAAACGAATCTTACGTCTACTGTTATTTTATAATTATCTGATTATTTTTTTGATATTTCTTGTAAGACGTACAAAGATGAAGTAATGTTTTGTTTATAGGAGAAAATAATGGTTGAAGCTCACATTTGTGTTTAGCTCTCATATGCCCAGCCTCCCCATTTCATGAAGAGAGTTGTTAATTTATACACCTTTGAACTTAACGTAATGAATGCTTTTGCAAGTTACCTTAACACATGGAGAACTCTCATTTATCTTGATCCTTTATTTTGATAAAGGTGAGACAAGTGTTATATAATATCTCTTTGAGACGTTTTGAGTTTTAATAGATAATATCACTTTGCCTTTAAGTACTTGTTGAGTTCTGATTGGTGGTGCTGATATCAGTGTATATTTTTGGCATAACACTTGAGATCAACAAATGAATGCTTAAATCCCTATGAGCATTGACGGTCTCAGCATTTATATGAAAGGAGGTACCATAGAAATTTAAATATATGAATCATATATATTAGTTTTAAGTAGAGTAAGACATAATTTATTCAAATTATGATTTAAAAAATAAAAAATAAAAGAGAGAAATTGGGATATAAAATTCAATAGATAATTAAAAATTAAGATTATTCAGTATCCAAAATTAATAATAAGAGAATTATATAGGAAAGTAAGAAGATGAAGGACCTTTTAATAAAACTTCCATTTCAGGGTGGGGCGTGTGCCCCCCTTGCTTTGTACGTGGGTCCGCCGCTATCCATGAAAGTTAGTCCAAGGGGGAATGATGGTGATGACTTGTTAGACCAAGAACTTGGACACCTATATTGCACCAAAAGTCGGTAGCTGGTGTGAACTAAAGCCTAACATCATTAATATTCATTAACCAAGAAAAATACACGGGCACGTGAATTAAGTGTCCAAACAAAAAGTCAGACAAAGATAAAATTAAAGTTTTAATAATCTACAATAATTGAATAAAAAATCTATTGTTAGATCTATTGATATCATCATTTGGCATTAATTTCCTTAACAGAACAAGGACCATATACTACATGCGTATAGTTCCTACAATCTTAATTAAATTGAACTACAGCGAAAAAAATATTAAATCGCATCAGCATAGCGGATATTAAATATAAAATATTGGATATTATATTGGTCTTTGAAGATTAGAATTTGACAACCAATAATATTTTACATAATAGCAAATTTCTTAAAAGGGAAATGAGTAGGCGAACGACATGATTTACGTCTCACATTACAAGTCCTTCCCCCTTGAAGATAAAACACAAAACGGGATATGATATTGTTGACAGAGAATTAAGGTTAATGTGGATCGCCTTTTCATGAGAAGAAAAGTTTAAATTGAATATCTTTCCATC